TGTGTGTGTATGTGGCCAGCTTAGTCCACCAGGAGGCGGGGCTGGCTGGCTGTGGTGCTGGGGGATTGAACCGTGGTCCCTGTTTTGCTAAGCTTGTTCTAAGTAGGTGCTTTAGACCACTGAGACATCTCACCAGTCCCCTGATTGCATTCTTAAAGGTATCTTCCAACGTTATGATTTTCACTTCTCCTTTAGTATTTGGAGTATTGCTAGTGCTTTTCTCCTTAATTTTCTGATATGTCTAGTTACTTGCTCAACTATACTTGTTTTAACTCTCAAGCACATAGTGACAGTGTAAGCTTCTCAAAGACTGGAGTTTGACCAGTCTTTTTTAATGATGTCTTTTTCAGTAATGATCACATTATGAAAGGCATTCAATAAACAGCTGAAGCCTTATAGATTTTCTTCTCAGATGTTTGTTTACTTATTGGAGTCAGGGTCTCGCTATGTAGCCCACTTGGCCTTGAACTTGCAACAATTCTCCTGCCTCAGCCTCCTGAGTATAGGAATTATATGCATCACCACACCTGGCTTGATTTTGATTTTTAAATAGATGTAGTGTTCAGTGCTGTGTAGGGAGGGCTCAGTAGGAATCATATGAAGAGGATGGAGTAATGTCTATTCTAATACGGATGGGTAACCTGGATTTCTTGTACTACCTCCATTCTGTAAGTGGAGATTTGTCAGTATAAGTTTCCCAACTACTGTCTAGCCAGAATACTAGAGCCTTTGTATTCACCTACCTTTAGGTGCTCAATCTGCTTTTCCAGCTCTTTAGCACTCATGAAGGTCTCTGAAGGTGGAATATTTACTTCAGTTTCTCTCAGCCATTTTTGGAAGGTCCTAATCAGCTTCCGAAACTCATCTAACTGCTCCTGGCAAAATGATGTATCTTTCTCTCTGTCAACAAAGAAGTGTTGCCACTTGTTAGATTAAGTTTTATAAAATTAACTTGAGCTGAAACTAGGTTCATTTTGGGACTCTAGGCATTGGTTTCCTAATAGGGCCCTTCCTTCCCATAATCTGCTCCACAGCAACTTTGGCTGAACAACCACATACAGTAGGAGAAGCATCAAACTCAGGAATCTGTTGCCCTTGTTTGGACATTTCTGGGCAAAGGAGTCTTCAAACTTTTTTTTTTTGAGTCTTCAGTCTTACACCAGGCTAAAGTGAAAGTGAGAAAAACTAAAGGGAGCCTGCTATTTAGGTACTATGATACAATGGAAAGAATGCATGCTTTGGATTTCAATTCCAGCTCTCCTTACATTTTAGGTATTGGACTCTTTCAAGTCCTAACTCAAACGCTGAATCTGAGTTTCCAAAAAGTTAGGTGGTTAGTCCTATGTAAAGCACATCCAAGCATAAAATAAATTGAGGCGATAGTTTGAAAAGGGCCTTGTGTGTCAGTCAAGTGTCAACCCATAAATTTTGGTTCATGGTATCAATAAAAGGCAAGAAAAATAAACCTCAGCAGCCTTTGTCTTCAAACTCCCCACTAAACAACTTGCTGTGAAGTGCTGGCCTGAGCAACTGTTTTCCTGTAGTTATTAAGGCAACCATCTACTAACTTAAAATTGTTATTTACAGCTCAACCAAGATAGAAGACTTACTCAAACTTAAAACTCTAGGGAGGCTTTTAATGGGAAATCACTGTTTATCAATAGTACACTTAATTCTACCAGCCTTTGTTATATATTCCCTCATGTGACTTGAAAGAAAAATTTGTACACTCTTCTGAAATAGCTATTAAAGTGGTCTAAACAAAGAAGCAGAGAACAAATATATACCTTAATTATGCCTGGCAAATCTCCTCTAAGTTTGTATTTCAAATTCTGCTACAATCCTGCATGTTGACCCAAATTTGTTCTATTTAGTCAGGAAATCTGGGCTTTTGGCCATAAAAAAAATAGGAATTCAGCTCCATTAATGAGAAGGAATCCACTGGTTGGCAACACAAGAATTACTAAATAGTGAGTGGATTAAGGCACTTTGCCTTAAAGAGGCACCTTTTCCCTCCCCAGAACTCAGGGTTTTGAGTTTTCTAGGCTCTCATGACTCAGGAGCAGAATTCTGGCTGCCTCCTTTACAGAGGAAGGAAAAAAATATTTACCTTATAGTAAGAAACAATCAATACCAATCCCCTGCAATAGCTCCTTAACACTGACCAACAGGTGAAACCTCACCTTTCTTGAACTGTTTTCTTCAGCTTTGTAAAGTCCTTTTTGAGATTCTGAATCTTGTTCTGGTGTTGGGACAAGTCCAATACAAAGCCACAGGAGCCCAGTGCAGTAAGGAGGTGCTCAAGAGTATCTATGTTCTCCTGTTGGTCTTCCATTTCCAAAGTGAGTTCCTGTCCAGCAAGCAAACAAATGTATTAAATCTTCTAAGTCTTGTAAATAAAAATACTCAAGAAGATGACAGATACTCAGAAGTCTGGGGGAAATTCTCTTTCATCTGCAGAAAAAAAGAGTGAACAAGAGGCATACTTGCTAGGTTAACTGCTAGATCAAAATAATTCATTACTCTCCTCCAACTGAATGGAGGGTATCTAGGAATTACAAGAAGTCTTGTCTCCTTTAAACACATGTGAATACTTTTAGAGGCAACATGACAGAATGAAAGTTTAGGAGTCAACAAAGGCTGTGTCATCCAACTTGTGACTTTTTCCCAGCCATTGTTATTGAACCCTGGGGGCTTTACATATATCCTTGCCTCCACTGTTTTATTCTTTAAGATAAGGCTTAAGTTGCCCAGGTCAGGCTGGAACTTATAATCCTCTTGCCTTGGTATCAGAGTGCCAGAATTATAGGTATATGCCCTGCTAGCTTGTGATCTTAAGCCACTAAACTGTAAGCTTTTACAGTCTCTTCTGTAAAATGGAGAAACACTATGCAAACTATATTAAAGATAAAGCCAATGCAGTTAAGGGAAAACCACTTGTATAAGAACTGAAAAAGGGTATCACTTCTTGGCCTTTTGGCTAAAATTAAGAATTGAAAAAGGAGTAATCAAAATATGTTTTCAGATTATATGAACGTATTCTTGTACAACATCTAAAAGAATCAGTTTAATCAGGTAGTAGGGTAAAAAGATCACACAACAATTCAAGAATAAAGGTTGGGTATGTAGCTCAGCAATGCAGTGCCTGCCTGGCAAAAGCAAGGCCCTAAGTTCAACTCCTGGTACCAAAAATGAAAAGGGGGAGGGAAGACAAGAATTAAAAATAAAAATTTCTCCTACAACAAAAAAGGCTCAATCTTAGTTGTTAAAGTAACAAGAAATACACAAAACCTAAATACTAACACACTCCTCACAATCCTGAAAGATACAAAAGAAGACTTGAGAGAGTGGGAAGACATCCATTAGAAAAAAAACAAAAAACAAAAAATATTCAGTGTTACTCAGACAAAAACATCAGGGCTTTTCTCTCTAGAAATAATAAAGCTGAAGTTTATATGGAAAAATAAACAACTATAATTATGAAAAATCTTGAACATAAAAAAATTGAGGCGGGCTAATAGCCACACTAGATACTAAAACAGTAAGAAATTTTCTGTAATTAAAAGAATGGCACATGAGCAGACAAATCAGTGAAACAGAATAGAAAATCTACCTCTACTCAGTATACAGAGCTTTTGTAAGCATGCACTAGGCATTGGGCTCAATCCCCAGAACTGAAAAGAAAAAAATGCAGTAATCAAAAAATGCAGCAGTAGATTCAAACATATATGAAAATACTGTATGTGATAAAGACAGCTTCTCAATTCCAGAGAAGAGACAGTGTTAAGGCTGGTATCTGTAAGTCCCCACAAGGCTTCATGTATTAATAGGTAGTGCTTTGGGGAGGTGACTGGACCATGGGTGTGTGACACTGGATTAAGGGCATGATAAGTTTAGTACACTGGTTGGTTTAGCATGGTAGATGAATGGATTTACTGAAAACAGACGCCCCATTCTGGATGTGAGTGGCACCAATCAATAGGCTTATAGTCTGGATAAAATGTAAAGGGAAATAAGGAAGGGAGGCTCACTGATGCTGTTTCCTAACTCCTGCCCGCCACACTATGGACCATTTCTCTTCTGCTATGCTGAAGGGGCAAAAGAAATTCCATTTTAAGGGCGAGTCCCTTAAATTCACTTAAACTATAGATAACCTCCCTACCTCACCCCTACCATGAAGCTAGCCATAAACCCACTTAGAGAAAATCAGAGTTATAAAATAGGAACAAATAGAACAACTTGGGGAGTAGGGTAAACATTAAACCACAATGCCACATGATAGGCAGATGGCCAATGGTGTCTGGAAAATGTAAACCTTGCGGCAACTATGTGATATTCCTGTAAAATTCCTAAAAATGAGGTAATGTGGTTACTATGGAAACCTAAAATGTATATAGTCTGGAGGTAAAAACCAAAGAGGGCAACCATTTGGGAGTCCTGACCCAAAGTCAGGATGACAGCCTTGAGTTCACAATAAAAGCTTATATTGTTCTTATATCTTTGGTCTTTCTCATGGGTGCTTTCATCACTGAGAGTGCTCTAACAATGCCACTCTGCCTTGCAGCCTGCTGATTATGGAATGAAACCTCTACAAACTGAGCTAAAAATAAACCTTTCCTCCTTTTACTTGTGAGTACTAGATATTTTGTCCCAGTAATGAGAAAGTAACCAAGACAGACATTTTAGTAAGTTGTATTGAGAACCACTAGATAGATCTTGGAAAAAGACAGAGCAATAACTAAAATCACACTTGGTTACATTTCATCTATTATACTAGCAAAATTTCATATAAATGGTATTTTTTCTTTTAGCTTGTTAGACAGGATCCTGCTATGTAGACCTACCCTTGAACTATGAGGTAGGTATACTCATAGCTGAGGAGAAACAGTCCATAGTGTGGCAGGCAGGAGTTAGGAAGCAGCATTGGTGAGCCTCCCTTCCTTATTCCTCCCTTCCTATAAGCCTATTGGTTGGTGAGTATATCTAATATACCACCTCACTATGGCCCTGAACTCATAGCCCTCCTCCTGCCTCAGCCTCCCAAGTGTTGAGATTACAGGTGTGCCCTATCATGGCAAGATATACTAGCAAAATTTCAAAACCTTGACAACATAATACTGAAGAGACTTTGAGAGAAATGGATTCAAGGATGCTGCTAGTGGGGGCTACAAAAATGGTACAATCCCAAAGAACAAAAATTTGGCTATATTTACTAAGACACACAGGTACTGTGTGTATGTGTATGATACTAGGGATTCTTCACACTGAGCTATAACCCAAGGCTTTTATTATTTTAAGACAGTCATGCCAAGCTGCCCAGATTGGGATTGAATTTTCTGTGTCAGCTACCCAGAATGCTGGCATTATAGATGTACAGCTATTACACCCAGCAATATTTACTTTTTGATGCAATAATTCTACTCTAGAAATCTGTTCATAAAATGCTCTTTCAACAATAATATGGAAGAAAATGCACACAGTTATAATGAATTGTACAATAGCATAATTTTGGGGTTTTTTTTATTGTTACTGTATTGAGACAGGGTCTCACTATATAGTTTAGGTTGGCCTTGACCTAACTATGTAGCCCAGGCTAAGCCTTCAAGTCATGGCAATCCCTCTGCCTGAGCCTCCTGAGTGCTGGGATTATAAGTGTTCCATCACAGTCAGCCTAGCACAGTTTTGGAAACTACTACAAGAATCTTCACATGTGTAAGAGAATCACTGAATAAACTATTAGTTATCTGTAAAAGTATGTATTTTTAAAAATGAGTATAGCTATGAACTGTTATTTAATGATTTTCAGGAAATTTAGTATAAGGAGAATGTATAAAAAGACACTACAATATACCCTTCTTTTTTTATTTTTTTAATTAATTAATTAATTTATTTATTTTGTGTGTGTGTGTGTGTGTGGCCAGCTCAGCCCACCAGGGGGCGGGGCTGGCTGGCATGTGGTGCTGGGGGACTGAACCGCGGTCTCTATGCTTCGCCAAGCTTGTTCTAAGTAGGCGCTCTAGACCACTGAGCCATCTCACCAGCCCCTACCCTTCTTTTTTGTAAAAAAAGAAAGAAAAGAAACCATATGTTCATTTTGGGGGAAAAAAAGGAAAGAGAAAAATGAACCTGTGACTCATTAGTATTAGGGTGGGTGAAAAAATGGGATGGAAAACACAGAAAGGAGAATGACTTTTAAAGTATATTAAGAATTCACATATTTAAGAATAAAATTGGGGCTGGTGAGATGGCTCAGTGGTCTAAAGCACCTACTTAGAACAAGCTTGGCAAAGCACAGGGCCCGCGGTTCAATCCCCCAGCACTACATGCCAGCCAGCCCCGCCCCCTGGTGGGCTGAGCTGGCCACACACACACAAATAAATAAATAAATAAATAAATGGAAATTAAAAAAAAAAAGAATAAAATTGTACCAATGAAGATAAATATCAATTCTTTTTAGTATGTTGTTGGTAGAAATACTAGTGTGATTCCAAAATTCCTCTTTATTTATTATAGGATAAAGGCAGTATATATTAGAGTTGTCTGGAACTAGGGTTCTCCCTGCAGAAGATACAAATGAGATATGGAGAAACCCTCTGACATTTAGTTAGTATTAGATTATCAGTGTGATCACATGATATAAAAAAGATGCACAAATATTAGCTAACTTTATCTAGTGAAAGAACCCAAAAAGGATGTCACCTACTCCCCTTTCAGGTTTTGTTCAACTTCCCTGATGGACTGCAGCAGGCTCTACAGGCTTTCCTGGATACTCCAGTAGTTGATGTTCCTCCAGGATTCAGATTTTGGTTTGCTAATAAATATTTCCTACAAAAAGTGGGGCTTATTGTAGAAAAAGTTGATTTTAGGTATGGGATGAGGATATTACAAAGTGAGCCTGAGCTATTTTTATTTTTATTTTATTTTAGGAAGCCCAGGCTGGCCTCAAACTCATGGTAACCATCTTGCCTCAGTCTTCCAAGACCTAGGATTGTAAGTATGGGCCACTACACCTGGCTTCTGAACTATCTTATATTAGAAGACAAAGAAGCAAATATAGTTGTATGCTAATAAAGACATGTAAAAAAGACATTAGGGTTCCCACTGAACAAATTTGGGGAAGCTTTTCATTTCAAAATGATATGTTAAATGTAAGAGCTCCTAATGATACCATCTTTCTTTTATATTTCTATAAAGATAAATAAAACAACAATTAGCAAATCTAGGTGAAAAGTATACTAACATCAGACTACTCCTACTTCTTTGTAAACTTTGAAATTATTCAAAACAAATCCCCAAAATTTAGGAAACAAAATGAAATAATGAGGCATCCCTTCAAAATGGAAAAAATCTTGGCTGGACAACCCCAAGGCAGTGATATAGGAATACTGAGGTACTACAGATTGGAATATGGGCTGCCATAATCTCAAATAGGAGCCCAGACTAGCCACTATTAGTCTAATGAAGTCTATGCATATACTATGACCCAGAAGCCCTCCTCCTGGGGATTTATTTTGGTTAGCCCTTAGTATTTCTCATCAACTATTTCTAGCTCTGTAACTCTAGGTACATGAGAGGATACATTTCCCAACTCTCTGAAAAAGTTACATGTGGGCATGTGAAATTTGCTCTGACTGAAGGAATATAAATGCCTATGGTATGCTCGCTTGTCCCTGCAACAGGATATAGGAATGCTTCTGTCAGGGTGAAATCTATTAGCAGGTATCCCTGAGTGACTACAGTGACCTGAGTATGCCTGCTGATCTGGGTTGAAATGTAGTACAGGTGAAAATTAATCCAGGCTAGTTTTTTTTTTTTTTTTTTTTGTGGAACCAGGGATTGAACTCAGGCCCTTGCGCTTGCCAGGCAAGCACCTACTCTACTGAGCTATCTATTTTTTTAAAAAGCATCTAGTTTACAGGATGCCTGTGGAATTCTCCATGATGATCTATATGTACCTGATTAGTATAGCATATACTCAGTAAATATTGGTCTCTCCTCTTCATTCTGACAAGAGATACTATATATCCTTACCTGGATCTGCTGGGAGAAATGTGCAATATCTTGATCTGGCTGATTCCCAGAGGCCAACATCCGACTTTTGTTTTCCATAAACTGCTGTAGCTTGTCAGAGAGCTGTTCGAACATCTCTGCCTGGGGCAAGAGCTTCTTTAAGGTGCTCTCCTTTTCTTGCTGCTGTAGTAGCAGTTGTTCAAAGCGTTGGCTCACCTCTGCCAGTTTGCCATGAAGCACCGCCGCTGTAGAACTGTCTGCTGTCTCCATGAACTGAGTCACCATCTCATGGGTGGCCTCCAAGCTGCTCTTTTGTCTAGCAATGTCTTGCTTCAATTTCTGATATCAAGAACAAAGCTGTCAGCTTTTGACTCACTTATTCTAGGATATCTGAGCTACAAATTAATAATCTTCGATAACTCCACATTCACCTCTCTAAGGCAATACACTCTATTACTAAGCTAGACTAGACCCTAATAGTAGAAATATCTTCATATGGACTAGTTCTCATCTCTAACTCTTACTAGAATATTCACAGGTATGGGTTTTCCCCTTGCTACTGTCTCAAAGTTCTGTAACTTATAGCACCTGGCCAACATTCTGTGTTAACCCTCAGGACACAGGTCTTACCATATTATTGGCTAGGGCTTCTTGGATGACTCCTGATGACAGGGATGTCACCTGCTCCCCTTCCAGATTGTGTTCAACTTCCCTGATGGATTGCAGCAGGCTCTCCAAGCTTTCCTGGACACTTTGCGACTGAGCAATTGCCTTCTGCAGCAGAGCAGAGCGCTCAGCCAGACTGCAGGAAAGTCTCTGGAAGTGGCCAAGTATGGAATCTGGAAAATCAAGGATGTGAGAAGGAAGAGTAAGAGTAAATATTATTTTAGGGTTCTGCTTTTAAAAAATGTGTTTAAAACATACATGCTAATTTAGAACGACTCAAATAGAAGGAATATGCCTGAGTGCATTAGTGTTAAAGCCAAATTTAATAAGCATTAGTGTTTTATCATCCACTAAGAATAAGTAATAGAGCTAGATGTGGAAGACTAAAGATAATTAGGACCTGGGCTAAAAGATCTTTAAGAAAAACAACAACAACAAAAAAATAATTAAAACTTTAGTCTCTGCCCTCTACAAACTTAAGGTTCTAAAGCAGAAGATAGCAAATCCTAACTAGTTATAAAAATAAAATCGTAAGTGCTTTATTAGGCTGGAGAGTGCAAGGTCCAGAGTTTGACCCTGGCACTGCAAATAAATAAATAAATAAATAAATAAATAAATAAATAAGTGATTTACTGGAAATAGAAGTTATGTCCTAAAGAAACTCAAAAGGATGGTTACTACTTTTTATTTCTTACTTCTTTTGAGGGATGAGGATAATGGTTAGGATTTTATAAAGAAAGTAACCTGTTAGTTATATTTCTCCTGTTTCTTTCTCTGTCTTATTTATTCATTAATTTATTTATGTATTTAGTATACGGTTTACAGGGTCTCACTACACAGATTGGACTTGTAGTGATTCTCCTGTTTTTAGCCTCCCAAGCTCTGCGATTATAGGCACGGGCCACCATGCCCAGTCTCAGTCACCATTCCAGCACATTCCGGGGGCAGGGCCGGCATGACAAGCTGGAGATTGAACCACAGTCCCTGCACCTGCCTAAACAGGCACTTTAGTCTGCTCAGCTTTCTGGCAGGCTGTTCTTTCTCTGTCTTTTGGACAAGACACACACACACACACACACACACACACACACACACACAGAGTATACAACAATGTTTTGAGATATATAAATGCATTATGGAAAGGCTAACTCAACTTACTCTTTTTATTGTGATAAATTTTGTAGCTTCAGTCTTATTTTTTACTTTTTAAAATAATTTCATTGAGAAACATAGCAATGAGATAGTTTCAAAACTGATTAGTAGGACAGTTTCAATAATTAATACATTGAATATTGTCGTCATAGTGGTTATTCATTGTACAAGATGCAGACATGATATCCTTCCACAAACACTATTAGAACAAATCTTTCTATTCATTGAATTAAGAGAATGCAGCTGTATATCTATCCTATTTTGAATATATAGATACAAAATGGTTGTTCATTTTTATCACCCTTTTTTGTTTAGTTTTCTCAGAGAAGGGTATTCCATTGTCATGTAAACATTGTAGGTGCATAAATTCAGCAAAATATTCCAATATAGTCCAGTAGTCCATAACAATATCAACTTATTTAATATATGCATTACTTTACATGCTTACCACTTTTTGTGCTGAGAACTCTCAAAATCTACTCTCATACCAAATTCCACGCATATTATATACTGTTAATATCTATAATTGCCATGACATACCCTCAGCTACATCTTTTTTGTTTTTTTTAAAGATTGATTGATTTGGTATAGGGTCTTGCTATGCAGCTCGTTCTCACAGTGATCCTTCTGTCTCAGCCTCCCCAGCACTGGAATCACAGGTGTGTGCCAACATGCCTGCACACCTACATGGTGTGGCCTACTTGGGGCCAGCACAGCATGCGGTACCAGGTATCAATCCCAGCTCCTTGAGTTTGCCAGGCAGGTACTTAGACCATCATGCTATCTCCCTGGCCCCCCTCAGCTACATCCTGAAGGCTGAGCAAGATTTCATCAAGCATGATATGCATGAAATAAATGTTCGCAGCTAAGCAACAGGAAAAACTTCAGAGGTAATGTAATGTAGAAATAATTGGTTTACTTGGGAAATAAAAGAAGCAGGGTACAGCTATAAGGTGAGATGCCTGGGGAAAATGGTTGATGCCAGATTGTGAATGCCTTTCAACAGTACAAAAAGAAAATTAAGTGGAGAGGGCTGGCCAAATAGCTCAGTGGATTAAAGTACCTGCAAGTAGGTGCAGGGGCTGGGGGTTCAATCCCCGGGCCTGCCATGCCAGCCCCACTCCCGGGGTGCACTGAGATGGAGATTGAGACTGGGTATGGTGGCATGTGCCTATAATCCCAGCACTTGGGAAGCTGTAAACAGGAGAATCACTACGAGTCCGATCTAGTAGTGAAACCCTGGACACCCTGTAGACCCTTCCTTAAAAAATACAAAAAACAAAAAACAACAAAAAACCAAGCAAAAAATTAAGTGGAGGATGAGCTATTTGATCAAAGTGTACAGCTACTCATGGCTATACCCTCAGCTCCTAACTGAGCACCTATACATATGCATGATGCAATATGCTATATCCATAGTGGCAAAAATATAGCATATGTGCTGCAGGGGGCTGTTTGTTAGTACTGAAAGCTCTGACTGTTCACCATCACTGTGCTATCTTGTAGAACAGAAGCTAATTCTAGAAATTAGAGAAATTACTTCATACCTGTAGTTTCTTGGACATGCTTAGGGTCCAGGACTGGTTCCCCTTCAATTTCCATGAAGTCATGAGCTACTTTTTGGAGCTTTTCTACAGGAACTTGGTGCTCAGCCAGCTCCTCTTGCAACTTCTGCTCGTCCATGAAAAAAGACAGAAGAACAACTAATTGAGCAAATAAAGGTAACTGTAGGAAGGGAGAACTATTAAGCAGTTTTATAAGTAATTCTGTTTATTTAATAGCCATAGATATTAGAATAAAGTGTTTAGGGACCAGATTATCAAGGCATCCCAACTACCACCTTTAATGTACTGGCTTTTCTTTGGGATAATGATCACAGTCCGAGTTTACCTTTGTCACTGAAAGCTGTTGTTGCAGGACTCCTGGGTCAGAAGCAATAGTATCTGAGAGGAGCTTCTTCACATTAGCCTCACAAGCCTTCATCCAGGATTGTAGGTTGTCAGCGCTGCTCTGGAATTGCTGATATTGGCCTAATAGCTTATTCAGGTGAGAGCCCAATTGTGTACACTGTGCCAGGGAAAGAAAGAAAAAGCAGACCTGAAATGTCAGAACATAGGCAGCAGCTTCCTGAGTAGAGCCTCAAAAAAGAAGTTTAGGACTAGGGATATATTTCAGTGGTAGAGCACTTGCTTGACATATGGCCCTGGGTTCAGTTCCTGATACTGCAAAATGATACCCCCACCCACCCACCAAAGAAGAGGTCTGGTTGCTACTTGTCACAAATGTAGTGGTTGCTACTTGTCACAAATGTAGTGTGAGGGCTGTCTGACAGAGGCGTCTGAACTGAGGGTCACGTTGAGCTGCTTGCCACTTCAGGGGTATATTTAGGAAGTCAGCACTATGGCAGAAGACATCAAGACCAAAATCAAGAACTACAGGACTGCCCCCTTTTGATAGCCGCTTCCCCAATCAGAACCAGACCAGGAACTGCTGGTAGAACTACCTGGACTATTATCGCTGCCAGAAGGTACTAACTGAAAAAGGGGATGATATCTCTGTCTGCTAGTAGTACCGGCAAGTATACAAGTCCCTCTGCCCCATATCCTGGGTCACAGCCTAGGATGACCGCCAAGCTGAAGACATGTTTCCTGGCAAGATCTGAACTGGCTTTGCCTGTTTCTCTATCCTCTGTTGGTGTCCCGGTGGTGAAGGGGGACCTGGATACATGATGGGCCTACCCTGGGACCCTGAATTATGATTTAACTCACTATAAAAGCTCAGTGGAAAAGTGAAAAAAAATGTAGTGTGAGGGACCCTGGATAGATGGGTATCCTCAGCTCCTAACAACAAGAAGGGTCTTTATTGTTTGTTCCCCAGTATTCACCTCATCTTTCTTTTATACCTAGGAAGACTTTTTTTTTTTTTTTTTTTTTTTTGTGGAACCGGGGATTGAACTCAGGCCCTTGCACTTGCCATGGAAGCGCTTATTCCACTGAGCCATCTCCTCAGTGCTTAGGAAGACCTAATGAGTTGTAGGACAAACCATCATAGAAATTTACATATCAGGTTGCAGGCAGTTAGGGACAAAAGGTACCCAAAGTGTTCCTTCTGGGGATTGGAAATGTTGACAGAAAGCATGACAGGTAAGAATTGACTAGATTCTAAATTTTAGGAGGGAGAGGGAATTATGTGGATAGGGAAGAAGATAAGGATTCACTCTAGATGCTCTGTTTAGGAGGAAGATTGTGCAGTTAAAAAGTTTTCCCACATTATGTTTCTTGGGAGCTCATGATGCTAGTCAGGATAGAGGACAAAAAGTGCTTCCACCTTTACCACTGATGTGAGATGTATTTGCAGTCCTGCTAGAATCAGGGGTTAGCCCATTGCCCTATACATTATACATTTTTTGTACAGTTCATAAAAACCTGTGGTCTATACAGTTTGTTTGCTATGTTCTAGGGTTCTTATACTGAAGGCCATGATTGTTACGCTAGAGGCTGACAGGATCTCTTCTATTTTTTTTTCCTCCTTGATACTGGGGATTGTACTGAGATACAGTCCCACCCCCACACCCTTAAAGTTGCCTAAACTAGGCTTGAACTTGTGATCCCCCTGACTCAGTCTCCCAGAGTGCCGGGGTTATATGCCATGTGCCACCACACCCACTGATTTACCTTTGCATGGAGAGCAGTGTATCTTTCTGTTGTATCTTTCAGCTTCTCCTTAACTAAGTTGCTAGTTGTTGATGGGTCTTTGCTTTCCTCAGAGCTGTTTTCTGCATCCAAGACTTTCTGCCCTGAAATAGTCACAAATCTTAAGTCTCCTTTGTGAGAAATGACATCCTCTGAGAAGCTTCCCTGCCGCTTTAGCAAGGAGGGCAGTGCTTCAGGGCCAATGCCTCCCTTATGCATGTTCTGCAGCTCTTTTTCAGACCGTTCTAGCCAGCTTTCAAACTCTCGATGGTCCTGCAGAAACTTTTGCAACTCATCCCGCAGTGTCTGCACCTGCTTCAGCTCTGCCTCAGATCGTGCCAAAGAAGCTGCATATTGCTCCTTAAGATCTCCTAGCTTCTCCTCCAGCTTCTGTTGTTCCTCAGGTGTGAGATTGTGGCCATGCTGATCCAGAAATGCCTGAGCAGATTGTGTGGCCAGAACAAAATTCTGCTGCTGGGACAGTAATTCTTGGTGATGAGCCTGGTGAATAACACCCCCAAACAAAACAAAGGAAAATCAGTAAGGAAACTTGAATAACCTTGATAATGTCAACAGCTACAGGTGGAGAGAGGTTTCTGTTTCTACTTCAATAACACAATGTAGTTGAAATAAGATATAGAAACAGTGAAAAGAGGTTTTATATCTTGAGTAGGGGCCATAAATGTGACTGGAATTTGAGTCTTTTCACTAGACCCAAGACTCTGAGAATTACAAATGGCCAATACCTATTTACAATAATGGAAGGGATGCGTAACTAAGTAAGCCGTATGTATGACAATATACAAATGTAAATACTTAGCTGTGAAATATGTCCCTCACACGTCAATAAGACATCCTACTAGGAAAGGCTTGAAAAGTTCATTCATTAAATAGAGTTATTTCTGGATCTTATAGGTAATTTACATTTCTTATTTTTATTGCTGTAGTGGCTTCTGTAGAGTTTTGTTTTTGTTTTTGTTTTTTGTGGTACCAGGGATTGAACTCAGGACTCTGTGCTTGCCAGGCAGGTGCTTATTCTACTGAACTATCTCTCTGGCCCTGAGCTTTTTCTTTTTAATAGTGCTACATCCTCACACATGCTAGGCAAGTAGCTTTGCCACTGTGCTAAACACTTAGCTTTGTATTTTTTTATTTGAATGTGCTATGTCTAAGAACATATATGTGTACTCTTTTTTCTATTCTAGTGAATAGCTGTGGGGTTCATTTTGAAATATGTTCTTCCAGAGCCTAACAAAAAACAGTGGGAGTTCAGTCAGTGTTCCTACGTATATCTATATGCAACTATCTAAAGCAGGACTATAGCCTAGTTTTCTTTAGAATACTGTTTAATTAGCTTCAGCAACCTGACAGTCAGTGTCTTACATTATCTCAGCAAAGCTACAGATATCCTTTTTGAAATAGTAAAGGGAAGCACCCACATATGTCTCAGGCTCCAACCCCTCAGTCAGGAGTAAGATAGTTTCCTTCCTGGGCTGGAGATGCTACTTGGGTAGGCTGACTATAGCCAGCAAGAGGTGCCAGGAGGCTCTCAATGATATAGCAGAACCATCTCTATCCTGTGTTATAGAACTATCAGGGCTTTGGAAAACATTAGTGGGTCTTCTAAGTACACAAATGGCAAGCAAGAGGCAGAAATCATATTAATATAAAATAAAGCAATGAACCAACCACACAGGCCTCTCAACAATATTCCAAGTAAGCCAAATTACAAAGGTGTCACTATGAAAATACATGATTTTGTAAATGTCCTAAATACATAATCTTGTTTCAATCATTGAATATATTATGCCTGTACCTTCCTGTCACTGTTCTAGGAGATTATTGTCTTATTGGTACCCTGGTTTATTCCCAATGTCTGGCATACAGCCGGTACACAGTATTTACTAAGTGAATGCATAAACAGAGATAAATGGTGAGAAAGAAATGTCTTCTGCTTTCAATTCTAGTGTCCAGAAGGCAATATAGACAAAAACCAAAAACAAACAAGCAAATAAAAAATACCAAGATGAGAAACACTAGAATATAAGGAGGATACATTAACTGGTGAGGAATAAGGAGTGCTTCCTAGAAGAAATAAACTTAGTTTTGAAGAGCAAATAAAACAAGCTCCCCTTCTTCCTTTCCTTTCTTTTTTATTTTTTTAAAGACAGGATCTCTCTACATAGTTGCTGGCCTTAACTCACCATGCAGCTCAGGCTGGCCTCGAACTTGCAGCTATTCCCCCTACCTTACCATCTGGAGTGGTGGGATTACAGGCATGTGCCACCATACCTGGCTTTTCTTACTTTCTACACCAGAGAGACAAGATTTCAAGAGCATGTCAATGCCAAGGAGAATGGGAGCACAGTATAGTTCATCACCTGAAAGGTATCAGTAGCTAGAGACTCAAATGTGACGCAAGAGGAGAGATGAAGCCAAATGAGAGGGGTAGTAAACCATGTTTTAACCAGAGTGTTTTAAACCTCGTTTAAAAAGTTTAGTCTTGGGGCCGGTGAGATGGCTCGGTAGAATAAGTGGTTCCCTGGCAAGCAAAGGGCCTGAGTTCAATCCCCAGTTCTGCCACAAAAAAAAAAAAAAAAAAAAAAAAAAAAAGTTTAGTCTTAATCTTGGGGGTAATAGAGAACCATCAAAAGGGCCAAATAGGAATATAGAAATGATTTCTAGCATTTTAGAAATCAAGAGGTGAGAAAAGTTGCAAAAGTTACTAAAATAATAAACTGAAAACTGATAATGGCTAAACTACAATATTTTAATAGAGATGATGTAGTCTGGATAACTCTGGAAGGGATACAGGAAGCAAGGGATTTGCTGAAAAGGTTCAATATAAACAGTGAAGGAAAGAGGAATTTAGGGTGATGTTTAATTCAGACAACCAGGTGAGAAGACAGGAGAAAACATTTTCTTTAGGAAAGGAGAGTATAATAGGAAATAGAAATTCCATTTTCTGTGGTTCCAGATTACAAAGAGGAGGATAAATTTATAAACTGTTTTAAAGTTTAGGACTGGCATAAGAGCTGGAGAGCAAGCTATACATGGAATTAATTAGTGTAACTAGTAACTAAATTGTTCTGAGAGGATGAGAGTATGAGACTACCCAAGGAAAGTACATTCTGAAAGAGAAAAAGGATGGAAACCTAACAATACTGCAAAACTCACCAGAGAAAAAGAAGGGTGATTAAGTAGAGTGGTAGAACCCAACAGAGAAAGTATTTCAAGGAGAGCAGCCAGTAGTCTCAAAGCCACTAAAACATCAAATAAGATAAAACAGAGTAGTGCTCAATGGATTTGGGAAAAAAGGAGGTTGTGGTAATGTGCCCAGGGTGGAGGCAATTCCCCAAGCTGACGCCTCACCTTCATCTTCTCACACTGCCGGTCCAGGTTCTCTGGGGCCTGGTTCATGCCAATGTGGCCATCAGTGGTGTCCAAGGCTCCTTGCTCAGGGCTGGCTCCAGAGAGTTGCTTCTTTCCTGGAAGGCTGGTCTGCACCTGTTCACCTGATGAGCCCACGGAAGTCACCCAATTCAAGAGAGCATCAATCTTGCTCTTGTTCTCTGCCAGCTCCTTTGCTGCTTTACTCTGAAAACCAAAGAATTACTCTAGTGAGAAGACTCTGTCAACTATTAAACTACCTGTAAAGGTCGTGAGATTCTTGCTGAAGAAAAAGAGTTGCTCTAATTCTGGGTATACAGATGCATTAATCTTTACACATGCAAAAACTAATACTTTTAAATATCTTTTAAAATCTATTGGGCTGGAGAGATGGCTCAGTGGTCTGAAGCACCTACTTAGAACAAGTTTAGCAAAGCATCAGGGACCCCGGTTCAATCCCCCAGCACCACATGCCAGCCAGC